CTGCAACACACACACAGAAAACACAGACATACACACTTTTAATTGAAGAAATTCTCCTAAAACAAGTCAAAATTAGAGATCAACATCAGTGTGTGTTCATAATAAGGATTATCGTTTGCTCAGAAAATAAAATCAAACATTTTCCTGAGGAAAAAAGCTACTTGAATATATTTTGTATTTAGCGGCTTCAGTGTATTGATGCATGAGCAGATATTTATCACAAATGAAGCAGAGATTGATCCTTTTCTCTCAGAAAACGGTCATTTTGCTTGTGTAAATGTATCTGTAAATGTACAAATTATTTTAGATATTTGCATCAAGTTATATATTTATATATTTCAAACAAACTATTTTCTTTTAAAAGGAATCCTGAAAGAAATAAGATGCATCATGTTTCCTTTAAAAATAAATTAATTAATTCATTTTCCTTTAGCTTAGTCTCTTCCCCGATAGCAAACGAATGTGGGCCACTTTAGGCAGTTATGCGGCACTGGTGGTCTTCCTTCGGCCCAGACAAAATGAATGTGAGCCTGAAGTGGCCCAATTGTACAATGGCAAAGGGGGGGCAAAGATCCAAATTCATATTTGGGCCATTTAAGGCACAGATTTGGCACTTATAGCAAAATGTGATCTAAATGTGAGCCTAATGTGGCCCATGTGGAAAATTATCAATTAGGCATAAATGATGGAGGACAAATGTGGGCCACAGTTGGCAAAACTGTGGCATAGCCATTTAAGGGCAATTTGGGTTTAAACCTAAAGTGGCTCACACATGTAAGTGCAAATGTGGCCCAGTTATCTTAAGACATCCGTGGGCCAAGTTTGGCAAGTATTTGGCACAGTTAGCTCTGGCTAATGCGGATGTGAGCCTATAGTGGCCCAGGGAAGATAAGGAAAATGTGGCCCAGTTATCTTAAAACATATGTGGGCCACTTTTGGCGAATATTCGGCATAGTTAGCTCTGGCTAATGTGGCTGTAAGCCTAATGTGGCCCAGAGAAAATATGGCAAATGTGGCCCAGTTATCTTAAGACATACGTGGGCCACGTTTGGCAAATATTTGGCACAGTAAGCTCTGGCTAATGCGGATGTGAGCCTATAGTGGCCCAGGGAAGATAAGGATAATGTGGCCCAGTTATCCTAAAACAAATGTGGGCCAATTTTAGCGAATATTCGGCATAGTTAGCTCTGTCTAATGTGGCTGTGAGCCTAATGTGGCCCAGAGAAAATATGGAAAATGTGGCCCAGTTATTTTAAGACATACGTGGGCCACGTTTGGCAAATATTTGGCATAGTAAGCTCTGGCTAATGTAGATGTGTGCCTATAGTGGCCCAGGAGAGGTAAGGATAATGTGGCCCAGTTATCTTACAACATATGTGGGCCACTTTTGGCGAATATTTGTCATAGTTAGCTCAGGCTAATGCAGTTGTTTGAGCCTATAGCTGCCCAGGGAAGATAAGGAAAATGTGGCACAGTTATCCTAAAACAAATGTGGGCCAATTTTAGCGAATATCCGGCATAGTTAGCTCTTTCTAATGTGGCTGTGAGCCTAATGTCGCCCCAGAGAAAATATGGCAAATGTGGCCCAGTTATCTTAAGACATACGTGGGCCACGTTTGGCAAATATTTGGCACAGTAAGCTCTGGCTAATGCGGATGTGAGCCTATAGTGGGCTAGGGAAGATAAGGGTAATGTGGCCCAGTTATCTTACAACATATGTGGGCCACTTTTGGCGAATATTTGGCATAGTTAGCTCAGGCTAATGCAGTTGTTTGAGCCTATAGTTGCCCAAGGAAGATAAGGATAATGTGGCCCAGTTATCCTAAAACAAATGTGGGCCAATTTTAGCGAATATTCGGCATAGTTAGCTCTGTCTAATGTGGCTGTGAGCCTAATGTGGCCCAGAGAAAACATGGAAAATGTGGCCCAGTTATTTTAAGGCATACGTGGGCCACGTTTGGCAAATATTTGGCATAGTAAGCTCTGGCTAATGTAGATGTGAGCCTATAGTGGCCCAGGGAAGATAAGGATAATGTGGCCCAGTTATATTAAAACATATGTGGGTCACTTTTGGCAAATATTTGGCATGGTTAGCTCTGGCTAATGCAGCTGTTTGAGCCTATAGTGGCCTGGAGAAAATATGGCAGATGTGGCCCAGTTATCCTAAAACAAATGTGGGCCAATTTTAGCAAATATTTGGCATAGTTAGCTCTGGCTAATGTGGCTGTGAGCCTAATGTGGCCCAGAGAAAATATGGCAAATGTGGCCCAGTTATCTTAAGACATACGTGGGCCACGTTTGGCAAATATTTGGCATAGTAAGCTCTGGCTAATGTGGATGTGAGCCTATAGTGGCCCAGGGAAGAAAAGGAAAATGTGGCCCAGTTATCCTTAAACATATGTGGGCCACTTTTGGCGAATATTTGGCATGGTTAGCTCTGGCTAATGCAGCTGTTTGAGCCTATAGTGGCCCGGAGAAAATATGACAAATGTGGCCCAGTTATCCTAAAACAAATGTGGGCCAATTTTAGCAAATATTCGGCATAGTTAGCTCTGGCTAATGTGGCTGTGAGCCTAATGTGGCCCACAAAAAATATAGCAAATATGGCCCAGTTATCTTAAGACATACGTGGGCCACGTTTAGCAAATATTTGGCACAGCTAGCTCTGGCTAATGTGGATGTGAGCCTATAGTGGCCCAGGAGAGGTAAGGATAATGTGGCCCAGTTATCTTACAACATATGTGGGCCACTTTTGGCAAATATTTGGCATGGTTAGCTCTGGCTAATGCAGTTGTTTGAGCCTATAGTGGCCCGGAGAAAATATGACAAATGTGGCCCAGTTATGCTAAAACAAACGTGGGCCAATTTTAGCAAATATTCGGCATAGTTAGCTCTGGATAATGTGGCTGTGAGCCTAATGTGGCCCAGAGAAAATATGGCAAATGTGGCCCAGTTATCTTAAGACATGCGTGGGCCACGTTTGGCAAATATTTGGCATAGTAAGCTCTGGCTAATGTGGATGTGAGCCTATAGTGGCCCAGGGAAGAAAAGGAAAATGTGGCCCAGTTATCCTTAAACATATGTGGGCCAATTTTGGCGAATATTTGGCATGGTTAGCTCTGGCTAATGCAGCTGCTTGAGCCTATAGTGGCCCGGAGAAAATATGACAAATGTGGCCCAGTTATCCTAAAACAAATGTGGGCCAATTTTAGCGAATATTCGGCATAGTTAGCTCTGGCTAATGTGGCTGTAAGCCTAATGTGGCCCAGAGAAAATATGGCAAATGTGGCCCAGTTATCTTAAGATATATGTGGGCCACATTTGGCAAATATTTGGGACAGTTTGCTCTGGCTAATGCGGATGTGAGCCTATAGTGGCCCAGGGAAGATAAGGATAATGTGGCCCAGTTATCTTAAAACATATGTGGGCCACGTTTGGCGAATATTCGGCATAGTTAGCTCTGGCTAATGCTGCTTTTTTAGCCTATAGTGGCCCAGAGAAAATATGGCAAATGTGGCCCAGTTATCCTAAAACAAATGTGGGCCACTTTTGGCAAATATTTGGCACAGTTAGCTCTGGCTAATGTAGCTGTGAGCCTAAAGCGGCCCAGAGAAGATATGGCAAATGTGGCCCAGTTATCTTAAAACATATGTAGATCACATAGACTAAAGTCACCATCATAGAGAAAAGTGTCTGCTTTAGTTGGGCTCATAGCCCTGAACCTCTTAATATAAATTTTTGGCTTCTGTAACTTTTAAGAACTTTGTTGAAAAGTTTATTCATTACAGCAAACAAGCCAAGTAAAAAAAAATTAATAAAAGAAATTAAGTGAGGCACAACCTGTGATGAAATAATAAAATTCACTGATGTTGACCAATGTTTAATCCATTATTAGCATTAACGTAATAGCATGCACATGTCACAGAGTTATGAAGGTTTATAAGCTAAAAGCATTCTCTGGTTCAACTTCTGCTCACAGAGACATCAATAATCAGTGCATGAACCTCAACAGCGGTGACAATTAACAAAATAAACGAACATCACAAACAGGAAACTAAAAGAGACAAAATCAGCAACGTCAACATGAACAGCAGAATCAACAGCAAATAATGAAACCTGGAGCATCAATAAGCTATAGAATGTATTCATACTGCAATGTATGCTGGGATTTTTGTACTTTGCCACACCTAGCAAGTGTAAGGTGTGGACCACATCTGGGCCAGTATAAAAGCAAATTGTGGGCCAGAATAGGCTCAGTTCTGGTTCATTTGGTTGAATTCTGGCTGATTTGTGGTATTGCTTTGGCTTATTTGTGTTCAAGATCTGACAAACAGAAGCGGGCCTCCGTAGAGCCATCAATCAATCAATGCCAATAAAGAAAATAATTGATTTCCAAGTTGGATTCTAAGTGGACTGCAAAAAAAAAAAAAAGCCAAAATACAGGTATTGCAGATATGGAAATTGGAAAACTATAATAATAATAATAAAGTAGGCGAGACAGTGGCGCAGTAGGTAGTGCTGTCGCCTCACAGCAAGAAGATCGCTGGTTCTAACCTCGGCTCAGTTGGTGTTTCTGTGTGGAGTTTGTATGTTCTCCCTGCCTTCGCGTGGGTTTCCTCTGGGTGCTCTGGTTTCCCCCATAGTCCATGCAGTACAGGTGAATTGGGTTGGCTAAATTGTCCGTAGTGTACGAGTGTGTGTGTGAATGTGTGTGTGGATGTTTCCCAGAGATGGGTTGCGGCTGGAAGGGCATCTGCTGGATAAGTTGGCGGTTCATTCCGCTGTGGCGACCCCGGATTAATAAAGGGACTAAGCCGACAAGAAAATGAATGAATGAAGGAATGAATAATAAAGTATTGAATACAAACAATTGTACTCATTGTAAAGTTGTATTTCTGTGAGTTGAGAAAATTAATTATAAAGTAGAAACAATTTTGCTCAGTCCTCCTTTACATTCAGCCAGTTGCTAAGACAGTCCAGTCTGTTGACATTATCGGGGG